TAATTTCCAAAAACTTCAAAAATATTTATACTCTTTGGTTTAGTAAGTTACCTTTTGAAGTTTTTCCTACAAAAACAGAGAATGTGTATAAAATAGTGTAAAAATATGTTATTATTACTGTTATTTATAATATTGAGAAACAGAAAAAACTCCAATGTCTAAGAATAGGGGCCTGCTAAAATAAATTATGGTACCTCTCTTCAATTAAATACCATTTCGCTATTAAAACATGGTTATAGAAAATTGCTTATTGACTTTGGGAAATGTTCATATTATAATACAAGATAGAGATGATCAATAAAGTGTGCAATGAAAAATTAGTTTAAAAACTCTAAGTAAAATATCAACAATGGTTATCTGTGTAATGAAATGTATGAGTGAGAATACTTTATTAAGTCTACTATGAGTATCGTATTAAATGAATAAATATTTTTCACAGAGCAATAGTCATCTAAAAATAGATATCTGTTAGTTTTAATTGGTTAGCCCAGGAAAATTGCTATTAAATGGGTCATGGAATGGATTAAAACAATAATTTTTTAGTTTAAATTGATTTCATCAGTTAGGTGGTAGAGAGACTAAGAACTTCTTTGTACTCTGGGTTTTGTTTTTTATTACAAAGATTGATTAAGTGTGGGGGCAAGAAAACACCAAAGAAAATTAGGTTATATGGACTAATTAATGACATCCAGAGACTGATGAAGCCAAAATTTATATCCATGTTGTAACTATTTTAAATAAAATTTTGATTTTCTGTTTATTTCCCACTTCTTTATTTATAGTGACTTAGTTCAAAGTTATCAACATTATGAGAGGACACAAGTAATGTAAGAGGAGCCTTCTCATGATTTTCTGCCTATTTTATGACAACTAAACGTGCATATGAAATGGGTAAATAACCAATACAACTGATCATGTGATGAAACTAATATTGGCTGTCAAAATGATATCTGTAATAGTACAGGAGTCTAGGAATCAATCTTGATATTTCTTTCTCCCTCATATCTCATATTCAAACCCCATTCTACCCTTTTAACTGAAAAGTATACCTAGAATCAATCCATTTCACTCCATTTCTACTGTCACCACTTTCATTCAGGTCATTATTATCCTCTTCCCTAAATTACATAACTTTTATCTCTCTCCAAGTTTGTTTCACTTAGTCAGTTCTTCTCCACAGTCAGAGAAACCTAAACTATAAAACTGATTTTGTTGATGGCTTCTCATTGCCCTAAGGATAAAGCTCAAAATTTTAAAACAGCTTCTGTGATGTTCCATGATGGCCCATGGCTTCCCCTCGTGACCTCAGCTCTCTCCTCTGCCCTACACATACTTTATGATCTAACTACACTGTATCTCCCATTCTTTGACTATGACCTGCTATGATGCTTCTTGATTTTTAATGGTGCTTACTTCCTTTTTGATCCTCGGATTAGGATTAGGTGCCCTGTTATTACTCTCATATCAATTCTTAATTCTTCTGTCATAAAAAAAAATACTTGTTCAGTTATCTGCTTTTTTTTTTAAGATTTATTTTATTTTTGCATACAAGAGCTGGGGTACAGGCCAGAGATACAGGAGGGTGAGAGGATTCACCAGAGACAGAGTGGGGAACAGAACAGGCAGACTGACTGAACTATACTGCTGAAAGGAGCAGCAGGCGAGTCAGGAGAGGTCTGCTGTGCTATGTGGGTTGCTCCCTGGCCTCCGGGGATGGAACTCATGCTGCAGAGGCTATAGCTTGCTTCATAGTGCGGTGCTTAACCCCTTGCGCCACCAGAGAGGGCCCAGTTATCTGCTTTTTTAAAAAAGATTTAAAAAAATTTATCATTCAAGAACTGGATGTAGGCCAGAGGTTTGGGATGAGAGGTTTTACCAGAGACAGAGACAGAGTGGGGAGCAGAACAGGCAGATCTGCTGAAATACACTGCTGAGGGGAGCAGCCGGTGAGAGAGGAGAGGTCTGCTGCACCATATGGTTTAGCTCCCTGGCCAGGGATGGAACTCATGTTGCAGTGGCTGGTGATAGCTTGATAGCGCTGACTTTAACCCCTGCACCACCAGGGAGGCCCCCAATTATCTGCTTTAGTGATGGCATATTTGGTGTTGTGTGGCATGTCTAGCACCTGCGCAGTGACACATAGAAGATGTTCAGTAGTTTTTACATGAAAAAAATGAATATAAAAAGGGAGATGGTGTAACCTATTAAGGGCCTATTAAGAATACAGTTTTTTTTAAGAATGAGTACCTATTTGTATTATAGTGTGATTTATTACTGTGGAGACAAATCATATTTCCTTATGTGTGCTTTTTTATCCAGGTATGTCATTGTACACATGCAGTCAAATTGTAAACCCTTTGTCTTAACTTGTACAGTTAGAAGAAATGATTTCTGTAAAAGGCATAGTATTAATTAGCCTATTAGAGAAATCTGCTTGTTTATACTTTATATAAAAATTGTGTATATTTAAGGTATAATTACCTTTTTCCAGATTTATTAAGATATGACATAATATTGTATATGTATAAGATGTACAATGTATTGATTTAATACATTTATATATTGCAAAATGTTTACTACCATATTGTGATTATCAAGAATTTATTTATTTATTCCCCCCTTTTTTAGATTTATTTATTTAAGCACTGGGTACAGTCAGAAGCACGGGAGGGTGAGAGAATTCACCAGAGCCAGAGTGGAGAGTAGAACAGGCAGAGTGACAAAGTACACTGCTGAGGGGAGCAGCGGGCGGCAAGAGATGTCTGCACGCCATGTGGGACCCTCCTCCGGTGGCCGGGGAGCAACCAGGGATTGAACCGGCGCTGCAGAGGGTGCGGGCAGCTCCGCAACCCAGCGCTCAATCGCTGCGCCACCGGGGAGGCCCTAATTATCAAGAATTTAAAACAATATTAGTAACTATAGTCACTATGCTGCACATTAAATCCCCAGAATTTATTCACCTTATAGCTGGAAGTTTGTACTCATGACCCAACATCTCCACTTTTCCTCCCATGCTCCAGACTCTTAGAGAAGCCCAATTTTCATTTTGACTCATCTCCATGATAATACCTATTATACTAATCAAATATTGTGAGTGGGAGAAGGGAAATTATACTGATTTGTTATTATTCTTCATGTATCTAAAATATTTGCTGTATAACATTCTAGGTATCATTAACTTTCTTTTTATTATTATTTTTTACATCATTTTTCATTTTTGCACAATGTATGCATTTTCATCTTGGTTATAGTCCCCGTACAATTCCTACTCCCTCTTGTATTGATTCTACTCCCTCCTCTTCCCCCGCCCCCCCGTAGTGTGTGTCTGGTTTATAGTTGTTTGTTGATTTTGATTTTTACTTTATTATAATCCTGGATGGTCTCACTCATAGCAGGAATTTAGAAAACCTAAATAAAGGACCAGGAAAAAGACTAATTATCATTAAGTTTCAACCCATCATTTCACCAGTATATAAATAAAGTGTTCATAGGTGTATAATTAAAATATTCATTAATTCCTGATATATAGAATGTAAGGGCTGGGTTAAGATGATATGTTGTACATTGTGCTTTAATTTGAATTCAGTTAAAATGATTGTAATATTAATCACTTTCATTCTTATTTTATTTATAAAAGTCTTTTTTTCATTGCGGTAACATTGGTTTACAACACTGTATGTGACTTAGATGAATAGGATCACACCCCTTAAAGTGTATTTTACATGCTACACCCACAACCAGGACACTGAAAGTCCTCCACTGGAGTCCATTGTGCCTCCTCCCCATTTTGTTCTGCCCTCCCTTTCTCCATCTCTGTTAGTTTCAATTTTATAGTCAGATTTCTAGGCTTTGTTATTAGTTTAGTTTTATCTGACTCTATTTTGTTTCTCTACATTCCACATATATGTGACACCATCTGGTAGTTGTCTTTCTTCTTCTGACTTATTTCACTTAGCATAACCCCTCCAGATCCATAAAACTGTTTTTTGTTGCATGCTACAGAGAAATTTTCCCACCTATAATTTTACAAGCTATTGGTTCTCTATTATCAGACTTCTTTATCAGTCTTAGCTTCTTCTGACTCTGCTTCTTCTGACTCTTCTGACTCTTATGTTGTGGTAAATAAAAGTATATAAACCTTGATGAAGGCAGATAAGACAATGAAAAAATCACAGTAAAAATACCAACAGATTATGTAATTTCATTCCTATATTTAATAATTCAGTTTTGTAATTAAATAGCATGTTGTTTTCTGCATGTTAAACCCTTTAGGATAAATTATTAAATAAAAATGTAAAAAGTTCTTTTGATTCGATATATCTTAATCTGAAGAATATGAAATAAAAATGAATTTACTGAGGATTAAAAACTAAATATGCATTTACCAATTTATCCATCTATACGATTATCAAAGGTTGCCAGAATAAAATCATTCATTTTAGGGAGCTCTCATTTTCATGGTAGGATGAGTGATGACACACATGATTGGAAATAAGATTCCTTTAAAAGAGTATAATTTTCTTGTTAGATCATTGTAGTAAAGCTTGGTTGTGTATGAAGAAAACTGCCTAATAAGAATTGACATTTTAACTTGGTATTTGCAACAGACACTTTGGATACTTAATTAAATAGAACATTGCTTATTTCTAAAGGACTGACCAAAAAAATCAAACTCTTCTTGGCAAGTGAAACCTTTATAGTAGCAGAAGTGGGAAAACTGAAGTATTTGGCTCGTTCTCTGTTTGGATGATGCAGAATTGCTCTAAGCAGTAAGCTTACTGTTTTCAGAGAGCATTAGCAGCTTCAGCAAATACAACTGTGTCATCCTCTCTTAATACAGGGTGTTTGTTACTGCAAAGGGGAGACGATAAAGTAAATGAGATTTGAGATCTTCATGATGGCTTAAACAGATACTGATGGACAGATCTGCTTTTTGATGTTTTCTTTACTAGCCTTGAAGATACTGAGACTTAGAGATGACTGTGATTATCTTTTGTCAGACAGGACATGCAATCTTTAGGAGTTTCTCAAAATAGAAAGGTCATGCAGTCTGGAACGTGTGAACCCTTTCAATCTCTAAGTGATCAGGTATGACCTCATGAATTGTGATGATACTATTAAATTGCAGGGTTTTTATTTCTTCTCTTAGTCATTTAGAATATATCAATGTAATTGCTTGTTATTAGATTTTCCTTAGGATATTTGAACAAGTAATATCTGTAGTAATACATATCAGGTAAGCAATATAAATCTTAGACATTTGTGTGTGTATGTGTGTGTGCCTGAGTTTGTGTTTACTTTTAGCTTCTTTTGGTAAAGTAGTAAGTGAAGAAATTCTTCATATTGATTAAAAGCAAGATTTGGGGGTCTACAGATTTTTCCGGATTATTGCTAAATAAAGTCAGTTGCATATTTTCTTTTGAATGATAAAATAGCATAAATTTATCAAACTGCTAAATAATAGCTAATAGCTTGTAGATAGTGACATATTAAGAAAAATTATCTGGGTTTTCTTAAGCATAAGCAGATGTTGCTGTGATTGTGGTATGCAGACATATAGAAATCATGTGTGATGAGTAGAATAATGTTTATCAGCATTTGAGTTATAATTTCCTGAAATTTATATTTCAGTATCTGTACTGTTTTGAAGGGTATTAATTTAAATGTTTTCTCATATCTATTGGAGTAATGATGCTCTTGGTTTTTTAATATAGCTATCATCAAGGGCATTGCTTAAAGATGAAAGCTAACAATAAGTGTTTTTTTTTTTTAAAAAGAAAGCTTGTGACACTTAAGTTTATTTAAGATTTTTGACCCTGAGATAATTCCACAAAATTTACTTTCATTTTCAGAATGAAAAGACTTACTACATTTAACATAACTAATACAAAGATCAGAGAATCATAGCAAAGAAATTGGAATTATATATCCATTTTACTTGAAATTCTGTTAATTATTTTTAATCTATCAAGTTATGTTTCATTTAAATTTGGTTTATTATAGCAAATCCTCAGAAATTACATGCTTGGTTGAGAGATTGTACCTGTGTTTGATGTTCAAAGTTTAAAGAAAATATATCTTATATTTTTATATTGCACATTTCTACCTCAATTTTTGTGCACTTGTCAGATTTTTGATCAGACATTCCATATTAAATGAGTCAAAGAGAGAAAATGTTATAGCATTTCTCATCAGAAGGATGATTTTGTTTTTATGATGCTGTAGCATGATTAGGATCTAATGCCTCATTAGGGTGAAATCATGTAGTATTAGAAATGAATATATTCATCAAAGACTAAAGTGGAAATCTGAAACAGCTATAAATTCAGTCAAGGGGGAAGTTTCTCCTTTTTAATTAAAAACACATTGAAAAAATTATACCTACTGATATTGGTTATAATTTATATGTTATTCAGGCTACTTAGTTAGCTTATATTCTTATTAGTAGGGAAGACTGCCATATTCTTAAGCTTGATTAGTTTTGGAATAATTTGACTATACCTTTTAGTTGCAACAAAACCTGTTTAATCTGTTAGAATTTATTTCCAGTATTTGCATGTATTAGTCACTAGGAGTACATTCTGTTTCTTGGCATTGCTTTGGTATTCCTCTAGGTATTGGTTACAGAGCATTCTGCTGCTTTTCACTGTATTTACAACTTTTCAGAAGAATGAGACTCCAAAGATTTTTGGCTGATTTTCTTTAGGGGTACTTAAGAAAAGATATCTCAATAATTTTGTAAGATAAAAGAATTACTGTCTTAGCACTGTCGTTTTTACAAATTGGAGAAAATTTCTCTTTGTTGTTGTGTCAAAATACATTAAACATATTGGTTAGGATGTTGCAAATGTTTAAATGTTAAGTCAACTTTCTTCCCTGTGCAACCAGATGATCTTGACCTTTTGAGTGGTAAAATTGATTATAAATTTGCCCAATAATAATTGGTCATCTCTTTTTTTTACAATAGTTGCCTCTGTCTGTACTATATTACACATGTATTTCATTATGCATAATAAATGTTTCTAAAGGTAAGTTGACTATAAGTAATTATTTGCAAATTGTTCAATTTAATAAACATGTGCATTTGCAAGATACTGTGTTTGGTGTTAGGAAGAATACTGAAAGAAAATGCTATTTCCTGTTTTCAAGGAGATTATAAGAAAATGTACACAGTGAGCTATGCTTATATTTTGAATTGATTTTTCAAAAATGATATGCTGCATTCAGTTTTAACTTAATTTAACTTGTAACTTAATTTTACTCATCTTAGGATGAGTTACATATAGCTTTTTTTTCCTCATGTGAATATCTCAGTATGAGAAAAGTAATGTTGATTTGAAAGGTACAGTCAAGAATTTCATAATATTCACAGCTACATTAAGTTATTTTATAATGTGTGACTTACTGTACCAGAGCAATATCAATTGTAAATCAATAAAATAACTGTGTTTTTTATAAAACATAGGTGCAAAATTATTTTGAGAGTGAATTTGGGCCTAGCCCCTTGGGAAGAGGCAGAAACAGGGACCCCACCCCTCAAACCAGGATGTGACTGATCAAGTCTAATTCCAGACTAGGGGTAGGAAATTCTGCATTATAGAAGGGAGTTTTGACTTCATAGAGATTAAGCTTGGGAAATAAAGAGTAGCAGGTTTGGGCATGTTTGATGCTAACTAGCTCCTTTGGGGTGTCCTTTGAATAAAATGGAGTGGGCACAGGATTCAGCTCAGGCTCTAAGAATGGGCTTGGGGAGGAGCTGGTATGGAAGAAGGCCTTCCTTAGCCAGCTGGTGGTACTACTCTCTCCTCTGTCATGCTAGTATGCTGCTGAAAGTACTGGCATGGCAGATAGAGCAGATATAAAACCTCAGCTTCCTTAGAATCCCAAACTGGGTAAAGCTGCCCAACAGCAGCTCCAAAGTGTTTGTTTCATCGAATTCAAGCAATAGAAAACTGGTTTGCAAATTCTTCTGGTTTATAAAAGCTGACTGAGGTAAGAGGTGCATAAGTGGTGGAGCATAAGTGGTGGTTTTGAATCACTAGTGATTATATAATATAAAGGCATCTATTTGCTTAAAAATTGTTAAACTTCTAAGTACAAGTGAGTAATTTGGTATTTGGATGAAATCTAAATACTTAGGTGTTACATTTTATGACTTAATTTTATTGCTCTTCTTTTGAATAATTTTCTCATTGTGCAGATTTTCTGCCCAAGTGCCACTGGGTCAATTGAATCTCAGCAATTTGTTAAAACAGGCAAACAAACAAACACACAAACCCTACAGTGTTCTAAAAAGCACAGTAGGGGGTAAGGATATAAAGACTAATAGGTCCATGCCTTCAGGAGTTTGCAGATAGTGAGTCATAAACACTAAACACAACTATAATAGAATGTGGCAAGTAGTGAGTGTCATGGGGAGTTGAAAGAGAGATGAAGGAAACATAAATTATTTTGCCATGGGTTCAGGCAGCAGTGTATTTTAAGCTGAGTTGGGAGAGGAAAGGAGAGACTAGATGGGGAGCTAGGAAATTATGCAAAAGTGGCATAGGAGGTAGACCTTGAAGTCTGGGCACAGCAGGGGAAAGGTCTTTTCAGGCAAAGAAAACAACATAAGCAGAGGTAGGAAGGCAGAAAGCAAAAAGTATGCTTGAGTGATACAAAATAGTTCATTTTTCACATTAGGATTATTGGGGTAATTCAGATGACCGCGGGAAAAGTTTGTGGGGACCAGATAGTGCACTTTTGAATGTTAGATTATGATTTCTAATTTGAGGACATTTCTGTGCTGATCAACTTGCTCTTGAAATAAAATAAACAAAAGAGCAGTACCTATATTTTGCAATCATTCTCAGAGCTCTAACCCTCTTGAGACTGTGAAATGAAAATTAAATTCCTGAGTAGATTTAGTAGTTAGTAGACAAGGTAGGGGGTAAAAGCAAAATGAAAGATTTTAATAAGATTCTCTATCAAAATTGCACGTGAGAGCATTTCTCAGTCTATCCACAACCACTCAGAAGTCCTAGATTTCAGATCATAGGAGACCTCCTGCTTGTCCCTGATGTAAACTCTGTTTTATTGGTAGGTAATCTGATTTAGTTTTGGATTTATTTTTGACATTTCCTAGACCAAGGACAATTTAGAAGGATCATTTTAATACAATGAAATGCCTGTCACTATGGTGAATATTTGGATAAAAAGGCCTTTGCTTCAGGCTAAATTGTAAATAGGGACTGCTATTGATAATTATGGAAGTCACAGTGACATATTATCTTTTCTCTGTTCATTTAAAAATGATCAACAGTTATTGCTAATTTTATATATCACCTTTGAATTTTCTAGTTCATATACCTGAAGCATTTCAGTGTTGCTCAAGGTTAGTGAAAAAGCTGGGTAACACCAAGAGCAAATTTCCTTTAGGTATGATAGCTGGGATATGACTTGGTATTAAACCCAGGAAGAAGATAAATGTACACATGGAAATTGTGGGGTAAATGAAATTAAATACTTTCATTTAGTACATTGTCCTTATAAAGTATGTCAGAAGTAAAACTCATGGAATTCCACAAGTGTGAATTAAAATTAAGCCACGCACAATTGCTCTCTGGCCTATATTTAGAACAATAGCATACCCATTGAGAACTGAGAATATTTCTGTAGAAGTCTGCATATTTCAAAACCCCACTTTCTAACAGTTCTAGTGAGAGTTTACTCATTAATCCTTATGACTTCATATTGCCTGGAAAAGAGCTACTCATATAATACCCCACAAATTTCAAGTAGTTGTTGTATAAACAGATTAATTTCTGGGAAAAATCTTAGAGATGATTAGGCACTGGATAGCTTTAATTTTGTAAAAAATTTAAACATTTTCTTTCTCAAAAAGCAGAAAAACATTTAGTGAATCAGTTCTTCAAGCCTTCTAAAAGTGATGATACAGGAATATAAATTCTAAAAAATAATGGAAAAGTCCTTCTTCAAATCCCCCTACCTTTTTAAAAAATCTGAGTTTCTACTTAGTCCTTTCATTTTTAATTATATCATTTTTTTTTTATTGCTGTTACGTTGGTTTACAACACTGTATGATTTAG